CGGTGGAGTAAAAGTCATCCTGGACAGAGAGCAAAGCATGTTAGCGCTTCCTCTCCCTCTCTATCTCCCTCACTAACTTTCTTACTTGCTGCACCAGATGTCCTGAGCAGCTCTACCATTCATACTGAAGTGGCTGCGAGACCTCCAGTGTAATGCATTTTGTAATTTTGGTCACACCCACCTCCTTTCAGTCCTTCCCTCTCTATGCAGAAGGGACGCCTCATCGAATGAAGCTCTATGGTTGTCAGTAGTGGAGAACTGGATCCCTCACAGACAGTGAGACATATTCATTCATTTAAAAATTGTGTTAAAGTGCTAACACACCTATTACTAACCCTTATGACCTCATGAAAACTTACCTGGCTGATGTTTCTCAGCAGGTGGTCTTCAAGTTCTTTCATCCAGCCATTTGAAGTCCAGGGAGAGTAAATTAAAACTTTTTTTTTGTAAGAAGTTGGTCCTGTACCCAATTTTTTCGGCTAAAAAGATGATATACGTCTCTTACCAAACTACTCTAAGTTACAAGCTTCAAAGTTACATTTTTTTAAAATCCAAAAACCATTGTAATAACGTTGTTCCATCCAATCCGATCCCCAAACACTGATTAGAGAACATACTGTAAGCTATAAATACGAAAAACCAGAGATCAATAACTCAGGAAGACTCAATGAATCACTTCAATTACTTTTCAAATAATACCATAAATACTACATTAGTGTTGCGTTCAATAAAACAAGCCACGCTGGACACATGCAGAGGATATTTCCTCTTTTCCTCCCCTTATGCTTCATTCACTAATAATACAGGAGATTGTGCAGATATATGAAAAGAAGTCATGCATTTAAAAAAAAAATGTCAGGGAAATTCAGCACATTTTCACACACCTCACAGAGAGGAAGTAAAAGCAGAAGTTGTGTCAAGAGCTCGGGCGACTTCCCTGCAGCTTGTTTCATGTTACGTTTAATGCCTTACTCAAAAGTCGTCACCAGGTTTTCGAAAAAAGGGAAATGTGAGGTGTGTTGTGTGTCTTGTCACTGCTTTGCATGTTTGTAAGTGTCAACCTCTGTCAGTCATTGTTCTGCTGAAGCTGCAATGGGACAGATATGATGACTTCCTCTTGTAGATACACACGTATTTGAAATGGACGAAGAGATGCCCTGCCCAGTTTTTGCGTCAATGAGAAAGTGTGAAATGTCCTGTTACGATTAACATGTGTGTGGAAACGCGTCATTATGTTGCGATAATAAACGTGTCCCAGTAGGCTATAGATGTTTAAATAACCCTTTCATCCTCTAATTTTAAGGAATCTATTGTAGGATTTTGTATTTTTGGACTCGCACTGAAGTGAGTTGGTGTAGTAAAAGTAAATATAACCCAGATCAGTGTGTCCCCAGAATAGAATTCCAAGATAATTTTGATTGGGTTTAAAGAGGATTTATAGGGTAAGAATGCAGGAAAAATGCAATTTTATTAAACAAATGCATGTATTTATCCTTTTTTCTGTAGAATTATAAGTTGTTATTTCTTCAGGTTGATCTTGAGTTAAATATACGTGACGACGGTATTGTAAGGAGACAACTTGTTCTTTCAGGAATAGTTGTTGTTTTGTTAATTTGTTTATGGGCTTTCTTGCCATTAGTAAACTGAAAAGAGTGAAGCCACCTTTATATTTGTGCGTTTAATATTTTTAAGAGCCAGCAGGTGATTAGCTTAGCTTAACATAAAGATTGAAAACAGGGGGCAACAGCTAGACATACAATTGTTACACACACGCCAAGAGATGCTAACAGCACATAACCCAACATGAAAACCATTAATAACTAAATCGTTTTTGTAGGGATTAGGCGAACAAGATGAGACGTGTTCATTAGTCATTGCTCTTTCATTTATTCTCTCTCTTTTCAAAATCAAGCTCTAGTATCAATTACTCAAGTAGTAATTTAAAGGGTTGATGAGTGCAATTTCAAAACGAGAAAGTAAATGTAGATTATCTTTTATCCCAGCTGCCAGGACGCAGCGAACAAATGTCAAAGGATAGAAAGAAGTTTAACTCTTTCTTTGTTGTGCTTTATTACATATGGGTTTATAAGGAAGCTGCTGTCAGATCAGACTTCTTTAAAGCAGTGGTTCTCAACTGGTGGGTCGCAACCCAAAAGTGGGTCGCGGACCCGTTTTGAGTGGGTCGTGGATGTGTGAGGGAAGACATTTTCTTTTTAAAAAAAACATTTTTGTTTGCTTTTGTTTTTTGGGAAACAAGTCAAACTTTTATTTTGAAGGCCCGATTTTCTAACGCTGTGCATGCAGTAGGCGTTGAACTGGAAGTACCGGAGACCATAAACGGTTTTGAAACGTCTGTTATATAGTGATCATCTTCTCAATAAAACCTCTTTGCTGATGTTTTTTCGAGTCTTCTGGCCAATCAGAATCAAGATTGTTGCCGGAAGTCCCCGCGGAGAATAACTTTGCGGTAGAACTCTTTATACATCCATGGTATATTCAGATAAAAATGAACACAATGAAATATGACCCCCGGTTTGATGACTGACAGGTCACAGAACAATGGGGGCTATCTTCCCTTACCCACAAAGTAATTCACACAGACAAGTTCAGCTGTCAGAACAAAGTGAAAAAAAAAACAATGGCATCAAATATTATTAATATGTCGGGTAGTAATATATATATATTTCTTCTTCTCAGAGTGTACCAGAATGCGTAGTTTATATGTTAGAATTTCTAAAAATCTCCTGGAGGAGAATCCCCCCCAGACCCCCTTCTGGGGTTGGGTTTTCAGCATGTCACGTTTTTATGTGATACAGTTCAGCTTTGATTCCATCATCTCATTAAACCTTTTTTTAAAGCTTCTGTGAAGGGATATAAGGGATAGCCTATATGCACTGTACTTCACTTTAATTAATAGTGTATGCTGAAAAGCGTATATATTACAGCACGATTTTTTGTTGAATAGATTTGAGTGGTTCAAAAATGTTGGGTCGCGATTTATTGACAAAGTAAAAAGTGGGTCCCGAGGCCTGACCAGTTGAGAACCACTGCTTTAAAGTGTCCTTTGTGAGGTTGTTTATGTAAAGGGTTCAAACAAAACTCTCTCTGTACAGTCAGATGTGAGAAGAGCCAGTGGGTGAGAGGGCGTGATCATTATGACACTTAGCTGGGCTTATTGTGGAAACAAACAGGATTATTTTCCTATAGTCAGACCTCTTTTTTCCCACAGGCTCATACAGACACACGGTTATTAAAACACTCGAGGCTGTCTGTTTCACAACACATGCCTCGGTGTAGTCTGGGACACAACACAACTCCCACACTATTACACAATCCTACGCTCTGCTGGTCAGTTAAATCTGATGTGTGACTTTCAAAAAATGCAACGATCGAAAGTTTAGATTACACACCACCTGTATTAAAGATTCAGCATTGTGGTGATCTATTTAAAGTTAGCTCAACCCATGACTATGTAACCTCTACAGATAGCCTACAGTAGTACGATGATATTTGTATTTTGGCGTGTTATTTGTTCTGCTATGTAGTTTTGTTTGTTTTTTGTTCCTTTCTCAATCTGCATTTCTGTCTGAGCTTGTGTTCTCACCACCAAGAGCTATTTTAAAGTAAGTACAGCATAATACAGTATCAACATACCAATAGGAAGCGAGGGAGGCGAGGGACATGAGCCAGACTGAAAACTAATATTTTGGTACTGGGGTTTTGATTGTGGAAGCGCACTTAGTGATCTAACACCCTTGTAAAAGGTTGGATCTCCACATTGTCTTTCGAGATGGCCTACTAGCAGTGGCGGACTGGCCATCGGGACGTTCGGTACTGAAGTGGGCCGGTCGGATAAGTCACTAGCACCAGCCCCCCATGTTGACAATTTACTAGCGGTATTTACTAGCGGTATTTACTAGCGGTACCGAGGTGGGCCGGCGGTACCGAAGTGGGCCGCTCGAGAGTCCCTGGCTGATTTTTAGTCCCAGTCCGCCCCTGCCTACTAGTGGAAAGCTAGCTCTAGTTAACAGGAAAGCCCCCACTATTACGGGTTATTCAATGTTTCCAGGTAATCTTCATCATAACACAATATACAGAAATGAAACTGAATAGAGGCTGACAGGTTTACAGCAAGAATGGTGTACCTATCATTTATTTGGGATTTCATTTTAAAGTTCAACCTGAAAATGTCAAACTCCACAATATTATTGTAATTTTAAAACTATTTTAGGCCAGCATCAATATAATGCTCGTATTACATAACTTTTAATTCCCTAAAATAATGTCATTGACTTTTCTTATTGCAATGTTACTAAAAAAGGTAAATACGCACAATAATTAGAATAGAAATAAAATAACACACAACAAACAGAATAGCTCAAATTCACTCTTGGGCTTTGTTAAAAAAATACTCAATGACTAAATCTTATAATGGTTTTTACTTTTTACTGTTGGCGACAAACTAATGTATGTAATAGGCACGTACATTTAATGCACAATATTGAGATGAGCAAATGCAATCATGGTCATGTTAAAATACTGTGCAATAAGTTGTTATTAATGTGACAGAGCTATATATAGGAACCAGGCTCACCAGAAGGAAATCCGGCTAATGTTTGTTTTATATATTAGACTTAATGGGTTCGTTTGACCTGGCCTGATTTCCTCCCCCTCGGTTCCTGAACACTCGACATTTTAATAAGTCACATTTGTGTCAAGTGTTTTCTATTTGAGTATTGCCAAGTGTTATCTGCTGGTGTACCACAATGAAGCGAATAACAGATAAAGTAAGAGTCAGTTTAGTTTCACTTTCTCTCTTTTTGACTTTTCTTTTTAATCTCTATCACAAGTTTCAACCAGGTCTGTGTGCCGAATAGGAAACATTAAACTATGATACCAAAGGTTTAAAATGATTATATTTCTAAAGGTAAATTCACAAGACATAACCATGAGAACAAATAGGCCTAAATGTGAAATGTTGCCAATAAACAGCTTTTTGAATGACTTTTTGACCATTTCTTTCAATGAAACAGAAGTAAATATTGAAGAGTCTTTTAAACAGGCTTTCAGTGGAGACTCCAGGTCTTTAAAACCACCTGACTTTGACTTTAAACGTCTTAAAGACAAACAGAGACGCCTGCAAGCTAATCCAGTTCCTGCTGACCTGGACTCTGCGTTTACAGTTCATGTGACATTTTCCCTGGAATGTTTTTTAGGACGTGTTGACTGAAAGCGCAAAGTGTTTCCAGGAAACCACACACACAGCGAGTTAAACACAGCAAGACGCCCAAGGCTTGGTTATCTTACAAATTACACTGGAGATTGAAGCGTGGTAAACTCTGTGTGTGGCATGTTGGCACAGAGAGAAGCGAGGCCTGTTGTGGTGGCAGGGGGCCGAATGATAACATTTGTATCTAATAACTACTTTAATGCAGAACATGTTCAAGTAAACTTTTTATCTTATTCATCTTTTGCCGTTTAATGTTTAATAGTATTTAGCAGTCTTTCGTTTTGGAGCATTAAAGCTGTATCTAATCTTGATTTCATCTTTTAGGCGCAGCAGAACAAGCTAAAGAAACACAAAATGGACTTTAATAACTTGAACATGTTAGCTCAGTTTCCAAGTTAGACATCCAGCAGAGGAAGGGCAACATGTAGTGCATTTTCAGTCAACACACACAGTCTAAAGTCAACATTATGTTGTATATACTGGACTATGGACTACGACATGTGTCCTGAGGTAAATATGATGATTAACCTGCAAGTGAAGCCAGCGCAAAGTGCTTTGAAGCTGCATTTTCTTTCAAATGCCCAGCTGACCCTACTTCTGAACTGATTTATGAACTTTATTAAACATTTTCATTAAGAGTTTTTTGTCTTGATAGATATTTTCAAGTCTTCTTCATACCTCATACTGTTTACAATGTTGTTGTTAATCTGTTAAACCCACTGAGACAAACATGTTTTGTGATATTGGACTATATAGATTACCCTTGATTTGTCCATGGTGTCCATTGGCCATTTGGAGTATAGCACACAATAGAGCAGTGAATGCATCAGACCGTGGCTACCTTGTGATTGAGAGGTTGCTGCCTCGTGGTGTTCTGGTTTGGATGACCTCCATGTCTTTGTCTTAAAGCTTCAATAGTGTTTTCAGTTCATGCATCTCACTTGTACCACTGCTGGAGCAGAAACGAGACTGTTAAATGTGAGTTTTCTAGAGTTAACTGTATTGACTGTTTTTCGAGAACATTTTCAGTCAAGTTACTTTTGAGTTTACAAAGAAAGATGGTCATTTCCCCCATTGCTTTTTCAATCACTCCAGGATCTGCTGTTGGCAATGATTCTAAAAGTGTAAACGTTATTAGCGTTCAAGAAAAAAGATTGCATAAACTTCCATTGTCACACACAACCAGTCAAATATCCACAAAGTAAGAGCACAACAGGGCTGACACAATAAAGTATTATTGCTCAGGTCAATTTCCACCATAATAACTGATGTGGTAATTAAAAGCCAGGAAGTACTTAGATATACAAAATAACTACAAGGTGTGCTTTTGTGGCAAAGTGAAAAATAAAGAACAAGCAGTCAGGTCTAAAAAAAAGTATTTCAAACTATAAAAAAGTATGTGTCATGTCTGGGGGATATTATAAGGGATTTTCCTACTTCAAATGCTGAGAAAAAACGTTGAGAAGGCTTTTTTTATTACTTTGCTCAGCAAAAAGCACAATGAAAATGCTAGTCCGCCCACATTTAAACACCAGAGTTTAACAGATGCTTCAAATCCTGTGCTTTGTTCGGCCCAAAAACCAGAGAAATGATCCCCGGTATATGAGGTAGAGAAGACTAACGACAGATAGAAAAGACATCACTATATCCTGCTTTTGTGCAGCTAACCACTGACTACCATTCATAATAATGATGGCCTTGGCTATGAGGTACTTTAATCAACTCTGACACTATCTAACTTTACGGTAAAAAATAAATAAAGTGCTAATTGAATGACGTTGATGTGAGTGTGAGGAGCAGCTCTGTGTGTTGCAGCTCTGTGCGGAGGGTGTGTTTTGCTTGTTTGTTCGTGTGTTTACCATTTGTTCTGGAATGTTCTCAGAGCTGTTGTTTAGAAAACATCAAAGACTCGGTGCAAACACACCCTGTATATCCTCCCACACGCTAACTACATGAGATTAAGGTTTCCAAACAGTTGGGCATCAAAATCCAAGACCTTTCGACGATTTTAAAAGTGAAACGCATTCCAAATGTGACACTGTGGGATCCCCTTATTCAGAATTATAGCAACTGTCTCCATGTTATAGGCCCTTATGCTGCGTTCATGCACCAGCAGGAAAGTCCCACATTCTTGGGTTTCATATTTGTTGGCTGAACACATCATTGAGGTCCAGCTGCATGAGAAAATTCAACAGTCTCCCATAACTGTGCAAATGTATTCAAGAAAGCACCCTGCCCCTGTGGACTATATCACATTACAAGCTGTGTGCATGTGTCCTGCTGTGTGACTGGATTTTTGGGACTTTCTAAATGCTATATGTGCCTTTTAAATGTCAGATTATTCCCATCGGTAACATTTGTAATCTTTCCTGCACATAACAGAAACAGTCTTTACTCGTTTTTTTTACAAACTCTTATAATATTTGTCTGCGTTTTTTGCAGTCCTCACCACTTTAGGTTAAGTGGTTTGAATAAGCGTATTTTGGACACTTTGGTCAGCTAAAATAAATATTTGTTAATTGTGATTTTCATGAACTTGGTTTCTCGTTGTATTACTTTGCCTAAATAACATGCAACATTAGAGGCAAGCAGCTTCATTACAGGCTAGATGATCAGAGCTGTCAGCAAAGCACAAAGCAATGTAAAGGTGTTATTTGGTTTGTTTGACAAAAACACAAACGCAATGAAAGACAACTTTTGTACCACTAAGTGCAAAAGAGTATATTCCGTCTTTAAAAAAAGTGTTTTATTACAGGAGATCAGGGGACTCCCTTAATGCAGGGAACCACCCAGAAAACCCAGTGAATTTTGATTGTAACCACAACGACATATGTGTAAAATACTAAAGACATGATGGACGACGCTTTAAGAAGCCTAAGCAGTTTCAGCTAAAGTAGTGTAATTCAACTAAGCGGACATACTATGAGTAAAAACAAAAAGGAAGTGGTCCTGATCAGCACCAGAACTGTCTGACTGGGAAATGTAGACACATAATTACTCACAGTAACATCAAGTGTGCAAGTACTTTTTTATTTGATAGCCCCTGTCGTCTCGTCGACAGAACACAGTGGCCTGAGCTCAAAGGCAACATCGATACAACTACAGGCCAATCCTTCCATCGTGTACTGACCGGTCCTTTCTGTCCTTGTTTGGCGGTGGAGAAAATGTGTTTTCTGTTGGAACATCGAGGAAGAGGCACCCATCTAAAAAAAGTCACGGTACTTGATTTGTTGTACCAAAGAAATGGCACATGTGCTGCATCATTACTGCAGCCTAATGTCTTCATGCTGTAAAAAACTAACTAAATAGCAACATTATTTTACAAAACTCTACTAATTAGTGACTGAGAAGGAAACAAAGTCTGTGTTTTCCAAACAGTTCATCTCAGAGGCAGGACAGCCGTTACGTTGTTCCCCTTCCTGCACACACTCGCAGGTGTTACAGAAATCAGATCCTACCTGTGCTCGCAGTGGGAACGTAAGGTTACGAAGAGCACCTGTGAGAGCTAGCTAGCCAGGTGACTAGCATCGGATCAAAATGCTTGCAGAGGGAATGCTCCGGAGGCAGAGCCAAGCAGGACGGGAACCAGTCGCAGTAGATCTCTGAGAGGGATCCTCAACTGGCTGCTACGAGACAACAAATCTCCCAGAGAGCTGCAGCCTGCAGAGAGAGGAGAGAGGAGAGAGGAGAGAGGAGAGAGTTAACCCAATTTCTTTTTAACGCCACTAATTATTCGAACGTGCGATTAATGCATGTGTATTTGTCCTCGGCCCGCCCCGTAGTTTCAGAGCCCAAAGGCTTGACGTTGTTGTTAGTTGGATGGTGGGAGAAAAAGGTGTTTTAAACAGCAAGCCCAGCCCACAGCTGATGCTGACAGCCCCGCTCCTGCCGCTCGCAGCGATAGCTAAATGGGGGGCTACAGCTTAACATTGTGGAGGACGAGGGGCTGCGTTAGATCATTCGGATCGCATCCAACGTGTCGACTGCACATCACAGATTATTATTTTGACCCACAGTGGGAACTTCAGTCTCATGCTTTGACTGTTATGAAGACAGAAGAGCGGCATTTCGCCGTCAACTGTAAACAGGCTTGTCTGTTTGAGCAGCTGGCTCAGTGCAGAGAAGTACACAGGGCTGGGAGAGAGAGAGAGAGAGAGAGAGAGAGAGAGAGAGGTTCCAGGTTGTTGTGTTGAGAATATTTGTTATTGTTCAAATGATAACAAACATTAGCATAAAGCATATTTGTCCACTCATATGTTGATAAGAGTATTAAAAACTTGAAAAATATTCCTCTAAGGTGCATTTAGAACAGATAAGAAAGGTGTTATTAATTTGCGATTAACTATGGACATCATGCGATTAATCGCGATAAAATATTTTAATCGACTGACAGCCCTAGTATAAATTATAAAGCAGCATAAAGTAGATATACTTATGTAAAGTACAAGTACCATCAAATTGTAGTTAAGTAAAACTCTTAACAACACAGTCTCTGTAGAAGCTTTTAGAAAACTACTGAAGACCCATCTTTTTGGCTTTTGTGCCTACAGTACTTGAACTGTGTGTGATGTGTTCTGTTCTTATGTCTGTTCCTTTCAGGACTCCACGTGGTCCGTGTTTTGTTTTTATGTTGACCTTACATTTCTGCCTCATGCGGTTATTGTATTCATATTTCTGTGCTCTTCATTTTTACTCTTGTTCTTACTTGTGAAGCACTTTGTGAATTCCATTTCTGTTAAAGGTGCTATAATAAATAAACGTATTATTATTATTAAAATCAAATGAAATACCTTTGGTTACTTTCACCACTGAGTAAGCTAACAGCAGCAGGAGTTGAAGAGAGCTTTTATTCCTGCTGCTGTGTGAACCGGACGTGTTAACATGCAAATACACTCAGGTGAGGTTCAGTGAGAGGAGCGAGTGTGTCTTACTCTCCAGCTGAGCGTGTGTGTTCCTGAGGCAGGGGATGGAGCGGTACACCAGGAAGCAGGCCAGCGACATGGACTGTCCGTTCTGAGGGAGGGCCTCGCCCCTCATGTAGGACCTCAACACTGAGCTGTTCTCTAGGAAACACAAACAAGGCACACAATGTTTTATCAGGTGTACCTACAGGTGGGATTTAAATATATGAATGTCTTTTTTAAACAGGATACAAATGAAAGACAACTTTAAAAGCAGGTTTCTGATTGGAGAAAAAAAAGGGTGTGAGATGTACAAACATTTGATCAAACATGTTTGCTCACATCACTGTTGGCCAGTAAATACAATCTGTGCACAGGGGGAATTTTACAATGCCTCATCTGAATTCATTTGGATTTTAAATAGAAACCAAAATAAAGACAGTAAATAATAAACTATTTTTTAAACACAAACTGGAACATTACATCATTTTAAAACCATATCAACTAAAACTCCTCTAAACTGCATCCCTTAGGATAGTTCTCTGAGAAAGACAAATGGAACCTAATAGAAACAAAAAATCCTACAAAACAGGATTGTATCAGAAAACCTATTTCATCATGTGTGACTTCCAGTCAAAAGCAACATTCCTGAAAGTTGATGTCAAGCTAGTTGCTAGTTTGTTTTTCCTTTGAAATGTGTGCCAAAGGCTTCATGAGACATGAAAGTAAAGGCATGTTTGAACTGTTACCATGACAGCAGTCACCTGTTTCCCACGCCTCTCAGTGTGCATTTATTATTGGAAGTGTGTGGGTGTCTGTGTGTGTGTGTGTGCATGTGTTTGTGTGTGTGTGCACGCAAATAAGGTATGGAATGTGTGTTTGTTGGAGTGATACACAGTCTGTCAGTCATTATCGTGCCACACCCTTTACAGGAAATCCAGCTGAAACACATAGTCAACGATTCGTTTTCTCCACTCCCAATATGTGAATTCCTTTAGTTAACGTTGGCACATATGAAGAAACGACTGCTCTCGCTCGTCTGATCAACATTTATATGAGCTGTGAACAGTTTGAGGAAGGCTTTCTCACTTGTTGTGACTCTTTCAGCTCACGCAGGTTTCCTGTAGAGGGACTTTAACTCCCTGACCTAATTGACCTTTAAAGGGCCCATGTCTTGCATTTCTGGTTATTACCCGTCCCCTTGTGTGTTATGTAGCTTTCTCTGCATGTAAACGGTGTGCAGAGTCACAAACCCTCAAAGTACACCCTTTAGCGAGTAAAACTCTAACACAGAAAAGACCTGTCTGTGCTGCCCCAGAACGCCTCGTTGGAGATTTCTCTTTTTCCATTGTTTACTTCTTGGGTACAGTGACGTATATCGGGTATAGTGACGTAACGTCCGCGGAGCCGCTACGTTTGGACCAATCCGTGGACTTCCTCACACACACACACTCGGTGGGACGTTGCGAGGCTCGCTGCTGCGAGGAGCGGGACAGTGTGAGCTGGCTCACTGGTGTGGGGTCGGCGAGACACCGCGGAACTCAGCCTGGGCACACACACAAACTCCCAGCCAGGCTGCGGGTGTGTGTGTGTTTCGGGCTGGGTTTAGCTGTGTCTCGCAGACGACCACTGGGCTCACAGGGAGGGGGGGGGCAGGAGCTCCAACAAGCCGTTTAGGACAGAGAGTGAATACACATACTATACAGAGATGCTTCCACATTCTGATCGACAGGGTATGATTCCACCCCACCTAGGCCGACGGGGCAGGAAATGCTGTATAGTAGGGGAAGATAGAGTTTGGAGTACTTGAGTGAAATTTACGATTTTGACAAGGTTTTGGTAAAGGGGAAAGACGGTACAACGGCCATGGCAATGGGACACGAGCGACGACGAGGGTCCGGCCACCCCCGAGACGCAGCCCTAGACGAGGTCTGGAATGGGGACACCGTCTACGCTAGACCCACCACCTCGACACCCCCTAGTTCGGCCCACGTCGCCGGGTTGGTTGGCGGTGCTGCGCCGACGAGTGCGAGGCTCAAGGACGGGCAGTACTTCTGTAACCACCTACACCGTGACTTCGACCGAGTTCCACTCCTCCTCCTCCCACACACACACACCCACACAACACACACACACACCCACACACACACACACCACACACACACACACACACACACACACACACACACACAACACACACACACACACACACCACAACACACACCACCACACACAACACAACCACCACACACCACAACAACACACCACACACACACATATCCCTTCCGTATATTTTTTTCCAGTGTCCTTTCTCCGTGTTTTTATGGTTTATGACATGACTTTTCTACCTGGTATTAAACTAGCCAGATGATTTTATTATGACACGTTAAAAGGTTTGCAGTTGTAAC